GCCGCTGCGTGAGTCTCCTCCAGGTTGTGGGTTGCTTCAGAGCATGCAGAAGAATCAGAAAAAGCGTACATTTTATGGTGGTGTTACCGTGCATCGGGGCTCCATAACAGGAACGTAGGAGAACGCCAGGGGCTTTTAAAATCACAAGGCTGTTTGGCGCACTCACAGCTTTCCACTTCCTTTAACCGTAATGAGTCGAGTTTCTCAGCAACAAAATGCCCTTAAGACCTCTCGTTTAAAACAGCTACTCAGTGGCATGGAGGTGCAACAAGGGGAGAGGAATCCAGCAGCCACTCGAACGCTTCAGATGTTACAGGAAGAATTCCTTTTAGTTCAGCCCTGTTCCTCTTCTGGCCGTCTGTTCGTACCCCACATCCACACACGTCTTCATCTTTTTCTCCAGCTTCTGTCTGCGTTTCCTCTGGTTTATAGCCGGTGTAAAGTCGAAGGAAGTGAGTTAAGTTAATGTGCTGTCGTTAAAACAAGGCATTAGCTGACCTTTACTCCCACCCAGCCTTTCTCGGCTCTCCTTCGCTCCGTATTTACAGAGTCTGGGCCCATTTGTGGAGAACAATGGCTTGATTATTATGTGCTGTGGTCCCCCAGCTTGGACAGAGCTGCAGTCATTTATTTTAAACCACTCCACATCCTCGGAGACTGGACTTACTTGCCGTCTATTAGAGCTCACATCAGACGGGGGGGGTGGGGGGGACTCGCTTCACAGAGGTGCTGCCGACTCAGCAGTGCGTGAGAAGGAGTTATGAGAATGAGCGAGCGCCGCTTTCATGCGTCTGAACGTATGCGTGTTTTTATGGAACAGGCTGAAATTACCCTGAGAAAAGTCAATAATGGGACATACAAGGAGCGCGTTGCAATTTGGAAAAAAAGAAGAAGGGAAAAAAAATCAACTGCCTTTTCCCCCTCCACCTTCCAAACCAGGTGGAAATAATATTCCTCCTGCTACGATCCCCCTGCTCCTACCACGGAAATAATGTTACCACTACTGCAACAATCCATGTTCCCATCTATCAGCGCGCACTGCCAACGCTGTCAGTCGGGGAGGAAACATTTGGACAGAGGAATGTGTCAGACTTCACCCCTGCGAGGGGAAAGAAAGGAAAGGGCTGTAGTGGTGATAAGTAGTCATAATGGAGGTCAGTTGGTGTTTACCTTAGCAGGGTCACATAATCCCTGAGAGCAGAACTCCTCTCATTCACTAACTTTAATGGCCACTTCAATGAACATTTATGTGGAATTCCAACAAGGCATTCAGCATTGGTAACCTTCAGCTGTATGCTAATGCTCTGATGAGCGCTGCTCTCAGTTTAATCGAAAGAAAATCCTGTGTGTGTGTCTGTGTGTGTGGGTGTGTGTGTGTGTGTGTGTTTGTGTGTGTGTGAGCGTGCAATGCTCATTAGTTTGTTTGGGCAGTTGGCTCTGGGCGTCTTTTCAGACCACACACACTCTTCCTGCCGGCTGAATGGATTTGGGTTCAGTTAAATAGAATTCCTTTTGCTCCTGTTAACCTTCGCGAAAGCCATGGAACTGCACACAAAGTGTGCACGGAGGCGTCGGTGCCGCCGCCATTGAAATGGAAATCGACTTTGTGCCTTTCCCTCGTCTGTCTTGCACCATTTACCAGCCATATGAATACCAGATTTTGGTTAATTGACAGCTGCTTGGTGTTAAATAGCATCTGATGGTACTGGACCCCGCTGCTGTGCTACGCCCTTGGCTAAAGAACGGGCTGGGGCTGGAGGCGAGCCTGTAGGTGGGGGTGAGGGTCCGCCTTTCTGGGACCTTACAAGTGACCTTACAATAACATGTCAGCCCCACAGTGGGATGTGTTTGTCTTACGCAAGCCGTCTTTCTCAAACCTCCCTCATTTCTCCAGTCCCGCTCTGCTCTCTCTTTTCTGTTGGGGAGCCAAGTCGCAGAGACCCTCCTCACCCCTTATCCCCCCCCACCCCTTCTCCCCCCGATTTTGTGCTCTGCAGCTGTTCACTCAGTCACTGTAGCAAGAAAATGATGAGATTCCAGTTGCTGTCCATTTCCATCCCTCAACAGGAAAATCACTTTTTTTTCGATTGAAAACTTGAAAACGAGTTTGCAAACCTGTTCGTGAGCTGCAGAGATTCTGACCTTTCTGCCACTCTTTTTTTTCTTTTGATACTTTTGCCTTTCCCAATATCTAATCACTTTTCTGGCTTTGACATTTCACGAAACAGAAGGTTTGGAGTGAAAAAAGTCAAAATGAACCTGGAGCACTGAAAGAGGGAATCCAAAAGTTTTTTTTCCAAGTCTTAGGTCAAATTTTTCAAATCCATATTCAGTGAACAACAGGAAGGCTGTGGGAGCTGAGATCATTGGGGTGCAGGTATGTTTACGCTCAATTTCCCTCCTGACAAAGGCAAGAGTCAGCATTGTGCGTGCACAGTGGAGCCCAGCCACGGCTCCAGCTTGAAGGGGCCATCGACCGGGACCGCCATCTTTTTTTATGCTTGCAAACAGAATCAAGTTGTCAACACTGTGGACGAGTGCAATTAAATGACGAAGGCGTTCATCTTTCTCCAGTTGGTGATCATTCTATATGTACACATCACACACGTTTGCCCCAAGTGATGCAGATTCAGAAGTTGTGATGAAATCACAATTTAACTGGATCAGCACAATTGACTGGAAAAACTTTAAGTGTTTAAGCTTTACTGTTCTCACATACGGGTGGAATATTGAAGCAAATGTAGGGCACACAGGCCTATTTGAGCCTCGTAGAGAATAATTGA